TATAGAAGAGATGCTGCAGCAGGTTCGTTGTACAGGTGCATATCGTGCTGGGACGGCCCAGGCGCCTGGCACTGCTTCTTCTGCTTTGTCGGTGGTGCCTTCAAGAGTCGCCTTGCCGGCGAAGGCGGGGATGGTGGATCCCCTTGATTGGCTTGAACCGGAGCGTGCCGTCGTCGTCCAGGAGCTGGAGCGACTGCGTCGAGCTGAGGAGGATTGGGATGAGGTGCCGCTGGCGTGCCACAAGGTGGCCCTTCAGGATGAGGACGAGATGGTCTTGAGGCTGGTCGAACACGGCATGGCCTTACCTGTGCAGGAGGCAGAACTACCTCATGATGGGCGTGGCCGCTTGCTCAGTGGAGGCTTGTTCGGGGTCGAGAAAAACGACCTTGAAGATCGACTCATTTACGACCGTAGGCCCGAAAATGCGACGATGGATAAGCTGGGCTGGGCTCATCTTCCTAGCGGGGCATGCTTCACGCGTATGCTGTTGGATCCTTGCGAGTACTTGCGGGGGTCGGGAGATGATTTGCGCAACTTTTACTACACCCTTAAGCTCCCCGACAATTGGATCCGGTACAACTCCTTTGGTAGACGACTGTCGGCGAAGGCGGCTCGCGCTCTTGGACTTTGCCCCCGGACTCCTTACAGGCTTTGCTTTCGGGTTTTAGGGATGGGTGACGTGAACGGCTGTGACATTGCCCAGGCTGTGCACGAGGCAGTCCTACGCAGGCACGGGTTGCTGAAGCCTGCTTCTGTGCTTCGTTATGGGGAACCGGCGCCCACAGACGCTACCTGGGAGGGGGTGTACATCGACGATTTGCTCATCACACAGAGGTGCCGCTCTGATTCTGCGGTCCCTTGGATGGGAGCTTCGTGCCGCCCCCTCCTGGACCGCAGGATGCTGACGTGCAGCGGGTCAAGGCGGCGGAGGCGGCCTATGAAGAGGCGAACCTGCCGAGGGCTGTGCATAAAGAGTTCCGCTTCAAGACTGAGTTTAAGGCCTGGACGGCGTTCAGGGCAAGGTCGGGGCTCCTTTACATGTACGGCAGCAGGTGTGGATGCTCATCTTTAAGATCGTGTCGGGAGGCTTTTGCAGCAAGGACGTGCTCCGCAAGGTCCTCGGCTACCTCTCGTACGTTTTTCAGTATCGTCGGGAGCTCTACTGCCTTCACCACCACATCTATAAGTACATTGCTGATATGCCCGATGGTAGGTGGGTTAAGTTGCCGGATTACGTGAAAGATGAGCTCAGGTCCTGCTCGCTGCATCTGCCCTTTGCGGTGTGGCACATGAGGACTCCGCTTGCTTCTACCATGGTCGCCACAGATGCCACGCCTTCTTCAGGAGGCGCTGTGGCGGTGGAGGTGCCCAAGCCGCTCGCCCAGGAGCTGTGGCGTCAGTCCGAGATAAAAGGTGAAGCGGTTCGTCTCGACCGAGGTGTTGCTGAGGAAGTGTTGTGTGCTGAGCCGAAGGAGCCCTCGGTGTTCGCCAGCTCCGTTGCTGAATGCATGCCCTGGACAGTTACTAGCTCGTACTCCTTCAAGGAGACTTCGCACGTAAACCTCCAGGAGATGCGAGCCCTTCGGCGAGAAGTCACCCGCCTCATCGCTCGAGGTGCCTGCCGAGGTGCTGTCCTGATAGCTCTGAACGACTCTCGAGTGGTGGTCGGTGCCATCGCAAAAGGACGTTCGTCGAGCTTTAAACTGAACGGACTTCTCCGTGGCCTGCTTCCTCATTTGGTTTTGAGCCGAGCCTCCCTCGCGGTGCTGTGGATTGAGACAGCTGCTAACCCTGCCGATTTTCCAAGCAGGTTCAAAGTGCTTCCTCCTCCCCGACGTGTTCCAGGTTGGTTGGGTCACTACGGTGTGAAAGATCGGAGCTGCTTTCTTGGATTCGAGGTCGGCACGGGCAGGGGTGGCATCACGGTGGCGCATCAAGCGGTCGGCCTAGAGATGGGCTCGCCGGTGAATGCGTACAACATACTGGACGCCAGGACACAGTGGCTCGACGACGAGGTTGAAAGAGGCGGGGTACATTGGGTGTGGCTAGCGCCTCCGTGCAGCTCTTTCAGTGGCTTGCGCAACCTTGATCGAGGAGGACCCCTTCGGCCTCGCGGGTGCCCGGAAGGAGATCCTTCGAACCCCGAGGTTGTCGTAAAGAACGCTTTGTGGTTTGGAGCTGTGCAACTTGCCTGGAAGGTCCTCTATGCTGGGGGCTTCTTCATCCTCGAGCATCCGCGGGGCAGCTCAGCTTGGCAGCTCCCCTGTACTCAGGAGCTATTATCTCATGATGCAGTGCAGTCGATCAAGGTTGATTTCTGTGCGTATGAGAACGGGGCGAGTCGGCATGACACACAAAAGCCCACACGCCTGTTGACCAATGCACCCTGGGTTCAAGCAGTTGCTCGAGTCTGCCCAGGGAACCACCGGCATCCTCCCGCGTTGAGGGGTGCCTCTGTCAAGAAGGGAGGCAAATATCCCTTGGCCTTCTGCTGCGGACTGGCAAATGCCCTCGCGCGGTGGAAGGCTGCGCAATGCTAACCTGACCCCCGCTTATCGGCGAGGACTCCGGACAGCCGCCTTCTGGCTTTATGATCTCGCGTGCTCCTTGGGTGCCAGGCTCACTCGAGCCACGCCTGCGCCGCAGGTGGATCGAGTGCTCGAGCGTTGCATCGATGTTGCCTACCAGAGGGG